CCAAGCCAAGGGCTAACCCACCACAATGTCCCATGTCTACAGCCACCTGCCGTCTCTTGCCCATGGTTGTAGTCAGTCAGGCACTCTTCACATTCCACATTCATACAGTACTTCCTACAGAGAGATTTTAATTAAAATACAGCAATTGTCACTGCCCAGGTCTCAAGCATTCAGCTGGTTTGATCAACTAAACTTTTCCTCTATCGTAGGATGCTCAAAATCTTGTCTCAGTAATATACACTTCCATTAGCTTGCCTGTCTTCTTGCATCCATCCCCACACATAAACACTGGGAGCAATTCAGACACAGATGAGTGGTTTGTATGTGCTGACAGCAAGAGACCCGAAATAACCCCTCCGGTTATTTACATGTTTTTTCCCCAGACACAAGACCTGCCCTAAAGGATGAAAGCAGCACTGGCAACAGAGCTGCAGTTTTTGGTGCTACAGTAAAGTAAGAAACACAATCCCACCCTGATCACGCTGTACCTTTGAGAAGTGTTCCAGGAGCATCTTCTGAAAGGCTCGCTCATACGGGTCCAAAGGCATCAACTTCTTCCCTGGAAATGCTTCATCCAAATATTCACAAGTGATTGGGGATTCATAGATCAGCTGACCCTTGCTGGTCTCCAGAACAGGAACCAGCCCAAAGGGGTTCTTCTCAAAGAACCAGTCAGGTTTGTTCTTCAGATTGATGTTGATTATTTCATGGCTAAAAGAGAGAAAGAAACAAGACCCAAACAGGCTCAGTTCTGCTACAGTCCACATGCAGTCATTATACCTCAACAGCTACAGTACTGGAGAGGCTGAATCCTTGTTCCTCTGCTCCCCCAAGTCTTCCCTGAAGTCTTTTGCTGGGCTAACCATTTGACACAGAAAAAATACTTGCCAGGGAGCACTTCCCTTTGCTGGAGAAAAAGAGCACTGACTTACAATGACTTTTTTGTTAAACTCGTAAAAGACACGTGAACAGTCTGCAAGCGCACAACAGAGACAGCCCTCACAGTCATGCTAAAAGCAAAGGTCAAGATCAGAATGCAGTACACATCACATGCAGGTTCAGGGACATTCCAATAAAGAAGCACTTGATTGCAAATAAGCTACATTCCAATTAAGAAATGCAGCTGAACTTTAGTCAGCTCTCACACCAAAGATCAAATCAGGACAGCATCCTACCTGCTTGTCTTCCCTGCCTACGGCCTCACATAGAACAGATGTTTAGGATAAAGGCAAATAGCATTAGTCCCCATTTAAAATGACATGGCTATTGTGAGAAAGAAACAAACACAAATACTAAATACTGCTAACTTGCTACAGCACAGCGATAAGAAGACATTACAGGAACACAGTTTCCTCTTTTAAAAAGGCTGCTCTCTATTGTGCTTTGCTAAGTAGCAATATGAAAAAACTCGGAACATTCGTATCTCCCAGAATTCTCGCTGTAGCTTACACCAACACCAAACAACAACACACATTAAGGCTCTACTCACATTCACCCAGGACAAGCTCAAATGCTAGTATTGCAAACATTCAGGATGCCAGGTGAGAAAAAAAGAACCAGCGCGGGCTTTCTCCCTGCAGATTTACTTTGGGGCTTCACAGAATTGATTTCACACATAGCCAAAATCACCCACAGAATCTCCTTTTCATCCCGTTCTTTCACAGAGGTTCAGTTAACCGCCATTTAGGACGCCCAAGAAGGGCAGCCTGAGGCGCCTCCTGCTCCGTGCCAGCCCTGAGGGGCCGCCAGGGGAGCGCGGGTGCAGCGGCGGGGGAAGGCGCGGGGCC